AGAACACCTTCCCAGCTGCCTCAGCCCTCACAGTCCCTTGCAGCTGCAGCTGCCTCTCAGCCCTGACCCCTGCCCCACTGGTCATTCTGGAAGGTCATTGTGCAGTCTGATCTAATTAGCATATTAGCTCTTTATTATATAGGATCGGTGATTAAAATGTGACCAGAGGTTTGCAGAAACCTAGCTTTGTATTTCACCTAGGAGCTATGATTCAGTATTCACTAACTTAGTGTTTGTGGTGACTTTATAGAACACAACTACTGAAAATAACCAGAATTAACTTACATCCCTGGTTTTTTTATATTAACACATTTCGTACCGCTCAGGAGTTTTCTGGTGTTTCACGTGCCATCTGTTAAGGACCGGTCACGAGTGTTCTCGTTTTTCACGCCCATGGAAATTTGCCCAAAAATGTGCAGTCCCTGGCATATGTCTTAGAGATTTCTATGCGATACGTAATGTGTTAATACTAGAGGCCCAGTGCATGAAATTTGTGCACTGGGGGAGGGGTTGTCCCTCAGCCCAGCCTGCACCCTCTCCAATCTGGGACCCCTTGGAGGATGTCCAAATGCCGGTTTAGGTCCAATCTCTGTGGACCTAAACTGGCAGTCGGACATCTCTCTCACAATCCGGAACTGCTGGCTCCCAACCACTTGCCTGCCTGCCTGATTGCCCCTAACCACTTCTGCCTGCCAGCCTGATCACCCCTCCAACCACTCCCCTGCTAGTCTGCATGAGCTGTGACATAAATACATAATCATGTATATTGTACAGCTGACCCTTGAACATTTGCGGGGGTTGAGCTGCCAACTCCCAAAAACTTTACTAATATCTTACTGCTCCCCTGCTGGCCTGATCACCCCCAACTGCCCTCCCCGGCTGGCCCGGTTGCCCCTAACTGTCCTCCTCTGCTGGCGTGGTTGCCCCTAATTGCCCTCCCCTGCTGGCCTGGTCGCCCCTAACTGCCCTCCCCTGCAGGCCTGGTCACCCCCATCTGCCCTCCCCTGCAGGCCTGATTGCTCACAACTGCCCTCCCCTGCCAGACATCTTGTGCAAGGGCATGATGGTCAATTTGTATATTCCTCTTTATTATATAGGATGAGATTCGTTTGCCTTATACTCTGTTCCAACATTTAAAGTTAGACCACTACATTACACTTACTAATTTCTGAATTTTAAGTGCATTGTAATGGAGTTATTTATTTTCAGTCATTTTATATAAAAGGGGGAATACTGGTTGTATTAAAATTACACATTACAAAAAGTTTGTTTCAAGTATGTTCAACTATACTTCTGTTTCAGCTCAAAGAGGCTCTCATAAAGTCACTAATATTGTTTGCACGAGCTGTGACATAAATACATAATAATGTATATTGTACAGCTGACCCTTGAACATCTGCGGGGGTTGAGCTGCCAACTCCCAAAAACTTTACTAATATCTTACTGTGACCAGGAGCCTTACTGATAACATAAACAGTATTTTGTATGTTATATGTATTACATACTGTATTCTTAACTTAAGCTAGAGAAAAGAAAATGTTAAGAAAATCAAAACTGGGCCCATGCAGTTCAAACCCATGTTGTTCAAAGGTCACTGCATTACCAATATAATCAGTTTCTCTGCTTTACTGCCATGTAACACTGATTATTATTTGGAACCAAACATCACGAACCTTAATGAATTAGGTAGCTTCTTTTAAAGACAAGACTATAACCCTCTAACTAGAAAAGCAATCAAAGTCACCCATCTTGTAAAAGGCTCCTCTGGAATGAAATCTGCCCTGATAGCAGCTCCTACAGAAGGAGTAGCCCTATGTAGGTGAGTCAGTCTACTATAGTGACTTTCAAGGTAAAAAGATCTGGAGGTAACCCCAATTATGAGGCCAACCCATACATGGAGTGGGGCCATAGGATTTTATGGCAGATCAAAGTTGAGAATAGATGCTATCAGAGAAAAACAGAAGAAAATTATAAGCCACTTGCTAGCCAAACAAAAAGTTCACACTGATATCTAAAAACATAAATGCCAGTGAGAACTGTATTTCTGCTGCAGAAGAGCCTTCTATAGTTTTTGACATTTTTTTTTTTTAACTATCTTGGTCTTCCTGTTATAGCTATGTTCTGGTGAGATTCTGCTTTCTAAATCCCATCAACCACTAATCCTCATCCCCATTTGAAGTGGCTTATCCCAAACAGAGGTTGGAAAATTGTGTTAGAGAATGTAAGAGAATCAAGCATTCCAGAATGGGGGTGGGGGAGCTGCTAGACAAACGAAGGTCCTTTCCAACCCCAAAGGTCATGATTCCAAGCTGTGATCCTACTTATGTTTTCTTCAAGGTAACACAAATCCACATAAATTTACCATCACCAACTAGTAGCTCTTTTTATTGACCTAAGATGGTCCTTTAAATGGGTATGCCCTGCCAGACCCGGTTTGGCTCAGTGGATAGAGCTTCCGCCTGCAGACTGAAAGGCCTCAGGTTCGATTCTGGTCAAGGGCATGTACCTTGGTTGCGGGCACATCCCCAGTAGGGGGCGTGTAGGAGGCAGCTGATGGATGTTTCTCTCTCATCGATGTTTCTCACTCTCTATCCCTCTCCCTTCCTCTCTGCAAAAAAATCAATAAAATACATTTTTTAAAAAAATAAATGGGTATGCCCTAGTTCCAATACTCTAAGTTTTCCTGAACATCCTCACTTTATGACTTTACAGATTACAGTTAAGTTTTCTTAAGCCTTAGTTCTAAAATGTAGCGTCTTCATATTTTTTAGCATTTTATAACAAACCCTCTAGCACTGCTAACCCAGTGGAATATTTTATAGTTCATATACTGTATGGCAATTTTTTTCTTTTAGAATATATTTTTATTGATTTCAGAGAGGAAGGGAGAGGGAGAGAGAGAAACATCAATGGCAAGAGAATCATTGACTGACTGCCTCCTGCATGCCCCACACTTGGGGTGGAGCCCATATGTGCCCTGACCTCGCGGTTCATGGGTCGATGCTCAACCACTGAGCCACCCCAACCAGGCTGCAATTTTTTTTTTTCCATTGAGCATTGCTCCTTGGGGATCTTTCTCTGTACATAAACATCTCTCTCACTCTCTTTAAAAGGCTGGTATGTTGTTCCATTATACAAATGTACCATAATTATTAATGGACTGTGGGTTGCTTCCAATTATTTATTATTACACACAATGCTATGGGTCATCATCTTTTCACACGTGTACCTGTGAGTATGCAAGAGTCGCTACATTATTACTGGGTTTATTTTGAATTGCTGCTTTCTGAACTGTCTGAGTTTAGATATGTCTTGAAAGAAGAACGAAGGCTAGAAAGCACTCAAACTCTCCCTGCAGATGCAAATATACCTAGCAATAAGTAGCTTTCCATTAACTATAAATAAAAGACACGGGCATTTTTCGTTCCTCTGAGGTGCAGAGACGATGACAAACCAGGACCGGAGACTTGGCGCATTGCACGATGCTTCTGACAAGGTTCACGTAAGATTGAGAAGGACACTTAAAAAATGGAAGAAATTGTCTCTTTTTTTGGAAACTAGAGTTCCCAGGCCAAGGGTTCCCACGCCTAACTACTGAAAATACTTTAATTCCTGAAGAATTTCAGAAACCTCGGATGCGAGATTAAGAAATAACGCTTAACAGGTGAAGCTTTGAAACTTCAGTGTGATTCTTTAATGCTCCCAATTTCCGAAAGTTCAAAGGTTATGATGTGTGCTCTAAAAATATTATATATGCGTATATACTTAAAAAAAAAAAAAGATAAATACGCCATAGCTCCTTCCTTCTTTAGACTCACCCCACTCTCCGGCCGGCCGACCGGCCAGAGGAGACCCGAGCGGCG